AATACAACTTACCCCTTGATGTATACAGTAAATATGTGGTGGGGCTTTGTTATTATAAAGGTGGTATATGAAGGGGTTACAGTTCCTTACTTTTTTTTTTTTTAAAACTCTGGGCCTGGGCACTGTCCTTGAGCTCTTCAGCTAAAGGTGAGCACTCTTATCGCTTGAGCCACCGCGCCACTTCCAGTTTTCTGGTGGTTAGTTGAAGATAAAAGTCTCTTGGGCTTTCCTGCCTGGGCTGGCTTTGAACTGTGATCCTCAGATCTCAGCCTCCTGAGTAGCTAGGATTACAGGCATGAACCACCAGTACCTAGCTCTTACAATTCTTTTTTTTTTTTTTTTTTGGTCGTGGGGCTCGAACTCAGCTTGGGCTCTGTCCTTGTGCTCTTCAGCTCAAGGTGAGCTCTCTACCGCTTGAGCCACAGGCCACTTCTGGTTTTCTAGTGGTTTATTGAAGATAAGAGTCTCACGGATGTTCCTGCCTGGGCTGGCTTTGAACTGTGATCCTCAGATCTCAGCCTCCTGAGTAGCTAGGATTACAGGAGTGAGCACTGGTGCCTGGCTTCCTACAATTCTTTTTTTTTTTGGGTCCGGTCGTGGGGCCTGAACTCTGGGCCTGGGCACTGTCCCTCAGCTCTTCAGCTCAAGGCTAGCACTCTACCACTTGAGCCACAGCACCACTTCTGGCTTTTTTCTTTTTGCTTATGTGGTGCTGAGGAATCGAACCCAGGGCCTCGAGCATGCAAGACAAGCGCTCTACCACTGAGCCACCTTCCCAGCCCCTTACAATTCTTTATTACATTTGAACACCTGGAATGGCTCCTTACCAAAAGTTAGAAACAAATTCAGCTGAGGGAAACCTTAGTATATTTCTTTAAGTAAATAAGTACATACATAAATACATGAAGGTGATACACAGAGGGGTTACAGTTACATAAGTCAGGTAATGAGCACATTTCTTCTTGAACAGTGTCACCCCCTTTCCTGGGTCCCACTGTTTTCCCCTCCTGTCCCCACCCACAAGTTGTATAGTTCCTTTTCAACATAGTATCTAGTGACATTATAGTGTGCTGCTGCGTTTGTTCCCCCTTTGTTCCTTTGTTCCCTTTCTGTGTCCCCCTCTACTTTCCCCACAATTTACAAACAAGACAAAAGATAAAACAGCAACAAAGGAAAATAACCTTGTTTCTATTTCATGGAGTTCATTTTGATAAATATTATTTTATATGATCATATACACATAGCTATTGAGCCTTGGTGGTCCTCTCTAAGGATATCCTCCTTTGGTCTCAGGGTATAAATGTCTGGAGTCCTGTATAATTTATCATATCACAGTATGTTTTTTGTCTTGTCATTGAGTGTGTTAACTTGTAGATTTATAGACACATTTTATTTTTTATTTTATTAATTTTTGGGGGGGAGGGTGTGGGTCTGGTCATGGGCTTGAACTCTGGGCCTGCGCGCTGCTCTACCACTTGAGCCACAGTGCCACTTCCGGCTTTTTTTTCCCCGCGTAGGTGGTGCTGAGGAATCAAATCCAGGGCCTCATGCATGCAAAGCAAGCCCTCTACTACTGAGCCACCTTCCCAACTCCTATAGGCACATTTTAGTAACTACAAATGAGGGAAATAATGTTTCTTTAGGTCTGGTTTACTTCCCTTAATATAATTTTTTCCAAATCTTTCCACTTCCTTATGAATAGTTCAATATCATTCTGATGGAGGCATTCCATTGTGTATATTTACCACATTTTCTTTTCTTTTTTTTTTTTGTCAGTCATTGGGCCTGATCTCTGGGCCTGGGTGCTCTCCCTGAGTTCTTCAGCTCAAGGCTAGCGCTCTACTACTTGAGCCACAGCACCACTTCCAGCTTTTCACTTATGTGGTGCTTAGGAATGGAGTCCAGGGCCTCATGCATGCAAGGCAAGCACTGTACCACTGAGCCACCTTCCCAGGCCCTACCATATTTTCTTGATCTATTTGTCCAATGAGGGGCATCTGGAATGATTCCATATCTTGACTGTGGATGACCTTATATTTCTACCTGAAGTACCTTCCCTAGGTTCTTAGTTTATAAAGTAGAAGCAATTACTCTGGTAGAAGGATGCTAATACTGCTTCAATTATATAAATCATATAGAAGTAGTTAATTCACAAATACTTTTAACTAAGATTCTTGGTGATCATCTTCCTTGGGAATTAAGCACTTATTCTGCTACTATTCATCCAAAGAAATACTGTGTTAGATAGCAAAGTTAGGAAAAGTGTGTACTTGAGCAAAGTGCCCTAAATTTAAGTCTTTAAGTATCTGTATAAAGGGGTTTTAATTCAACATGTCAGTTTGTAGGTATGATGAGTCTTGATCAGATTTTAATCCTGGCTGTACCACTTGGTGTTTTTTGAGGTAAATTTGTGTGTGTGTGTGTGTGTGTGTGTGTGTGTGTGTGTGTGTACACTCGTGCGCCCACATGCATGTACACAGGTGCTGGTACTGAGTTTGACTTCAGGGCCTTGATCCTTGGTGCTGTTCCTGAGCTTTTGTGCTCAAGGTAAGCACTCAACCACTTTAGCCACAGCTCTACTTGGGCATTTTGCTGATTAATTAGAGATAAGAGTATAATAGACTTTCCTGCTCCTCTTGGCTTCTAACTGAAATCCTTTGATCTTAGCCTTGGATTACAGATATGAGCCACCAATGCCCATCTGAGATTAATCTTTTTTTTTTTTTTAAATTTAATTTAATTTGTGAACATACTGTACAGAGGAGTTACAGTTACATGGGCAGGATAATGCGTACATTTCTTACCAAGCATTGCAGCCTCCTCCTTTGTTACCCTTCACATCCCTTCCCAGCCTCCCCCCTCCCCCCCTAATCCCAATCCTTTTCCTTCCCCCCCTTCCTCCCCCCCCCCCACCAACGTTGTAAAGCTCGTTTTGGACATGACAACTTGTACTTCTCATTGTTGCAACAGGTCCACCTGTATCCTTAAACAACTGGTTTTTCCCCATCTCCTCCACAAGTTATACTGACATCAAATATAGTGAAAGCAGGGGTTATACTGTGGGGGAGGGACATACAAAGCAACAAAGAGACTATCTTATAAATGTGTTAGAAACACATGCATGAAAGAAAAAAACATTAAAATACACATCTAAGGGTTCATTTTCCTGACATCACATTATCTGACCTTTTCCGCTTGACTCATACATATACTAGATATTACAAATAAGGGAAACCATGGGACCTACGTTTCTTTGGGCCTGGCTTACTTCACTTAATATAATTTTTTCCAAGTTTTTCCATTTCCTAACAAATGGGGCAATGTCATTCTTTCTGATGGAGGCATAGAATTCCATTGTGTATATATACCACATTTTCTTGATCCATTCATCTACTGACGGGCATCTGTGTTGGTTCCATATCTTAGCTATGGTAAATAATGCTGCAATAAACATAGTTGTGCTGGTAGCTTTAGTGTGGTCTTGTTTGTAAACATTAGGGTAAATGCCCAAAAGTGGGATTGCTGGGTTGAGATTAATCTTTTTAGCTTTAGTTTGTATTTGTATTACGTGAATCTTATCTTGTACCTACTTCATAGGATTATTACCAGAAGATATCAAACAAAAACAATTTGTATGTGGCAGATAGAAAGCACTCAAATGTTAGTGTCTATATTTTTACTATTATTACTGTTATTTTATGATTAAGGACATATATACTTAGTACCTGGTTTTTCCACAGTTTATATTATATTCATTGGGCACCCATTGTAGACTGATTGGTGGTTGTAATGAAAAAGGTAGAAAAACTAAAAATTTAATGTGTAAGGTTTTTCACTCACAGCACCCAAGCTTGCTTTTTTTTTTTTTTTGTTCGGTCATGGGGCTTGAACTCTGGGCCTGAGCGCTGTCCTTCAGCTCAAGGCGAGCGCTCTACCACTTGAGCTACAGCGCCACTTCTGGTTTTCTGGTGGTTTATTGGAGATAGGAGTCTCACAGTCTTTCCTTCCCGGGCTGGCTTTGAACCGCGATCCTCATATCTCAGCCTCCTGAATAGCTAGGATTACAGGTGTGAGCCACCAGCGCCGGGCTCCAAGCTTTCTTAATATCCTTTCTACTCACTAGAAAGCAAGCAGAGTGAGTGTGTGTGTACTGAAAGTCAAAGACTGAGGTATAGTTAACCAAGTACTGATGACTCATGCTGAGATCTGAGGATCACAGTTCAAAGCCTGCCTGGGGGGCTGGGAAGGTGGCTCAGTGGTAGAGTGCTTGCCTTGCATGCATGAGGCCCTGGGTTTGATTCCTCAGCACCACATAAGCAGAAAAAACTGGAAGTGGTGCTTGGCTCCAGTGGTAGAGCCGCTAGCCTTGAGCTAAAATGCTGAGGGACAGCACCCAGGCCCAGAGTTCAGGCCCCATGACTGGAAAAAAAAAAACAAAAAAACAAAGCCTGCCTGGACAGGGAAGTTCTTAAAACACTTCAATTTAGCACCAAAACAACCAGAAGTGGAGCTATAGTTCAAATAGTAAAGTACTAGTATTGAGCAAATCTCAGGGATAGCACCTAGGCTCTGAGATCAAGTCAGAACCCCCACCAAAAATGTCAGAATGTGACTTGGATTACGTTTGCTTTTAGAATAACTCACTCACAAGAACTCAAGATCCCACAGGAATACTTAATCCCCTCTAGATCATGCTACCAATGACCTAACCAAAATTTCCATAAGGCTCTACTTCATAAAGGTTTCACTATCTTTCTCCACCACCACCATATTAAAAAAGCTTCCAACACATGAGCCCTTGGGGACAAACCTATCCAAAGCATAACACCGTCTGTATTCATTTTATCACCTGCTGTTGTTTGTGTGATCCTGGGTTCTTGGGTATAAAGCTGGCTTACATGTTGTAACCAATAAATTAAAACCTTACTTCTGTGTATTTTATGAATAAAAGACTGATTTGTTTCAGCTGGTTGTTCTGTTTTGTTTTTGTCTTTGAACAGTCTGAAGATGATGAGAAACTAAAAAAGAGGAAAGAACGATTTGGGATTGTCACAAGTTCAGCTGGAACTGGAACCACAGAGGATACAGAGGTAAAATAGAATGCTTTAGAGAGCTGTTAAAGTGAAATAAATGAGGACAAATATGTTGGAGAGGAAAAAACACCTTTATTTCTCCATCCTATTTCTTAAGTGCCCAAATAACAAGGTATTCCTTTTGCTTGATATTTTTGTCTAGGTTGAAGTTATACCGAATTCCACCAATGTATTTAATTCCATGTTTGACTTAGTACAGCAATGGATTTGGTGTCATAAATGCTTGTTTTAATGACTGTGCCACTTATAGAGTACTTTGGTTTCACAATCTAAGAAGTAGAGATAATATGCTTACCTCAGACTAGGATTTTCAGAATGGAGTGAAATGATTCTATGTAAAAAAAGGGATGGCTTTATTCAAAATGCTTAAGAATGATGGCCTGACATGTTGTAAGTATTCAAAAGTGTTTACTCAACAGTGTTTATTATTTTCTGCTGGGCATGTTTCCTTTTCCTTTGATCATTTAATGAAAGCCACCTCTGGGCTAGGAAGTTGGCTCAGTGGCAGAGCGCTTGCTTTGCATGCCTGAGGCCCTGGGTTCGATTCCTCAGCACCACATAAGCAAAAAGAAAAAAGCCGGAAGTGGCGCTGTGGCTCAAGTGGTAGAGTGCTAGCCTTGAGCTGAAGAGCTGAGGGACAGCGCTCAGGCCCAGAGTTCAAGCCCCACGACCGGACCAAAAAAAAAAAAAAGAAAAATGAAAGCCACCTCCAACCTAAGCACAAGAATAATTGTGCCTAAATCCCCTCTGGAATAGGATAGTGGACACAAGTGAGGCTTCTTATTCTTACACTTTGTTTACAATTAAGTTTCAGTCTCCTGAGTAGCTAGGATCACAGGTGTGAGCCACTGGTGCCCTGCCCCAGTAGCTTTTTTTTTTAGGGGGGGGTGTTGTGGTCATGGGTCTTGAACTTTGGGCCTGGGCACGTTGTCCCTGAGCTCTTCAGCTCAAGGCTAGCACTCTACCACTTGAGCCACAGGGCCACTTCTGGTTTTCTGGTGGTTTATTGGAGATAAGAGTTTCATGGTCTTTCCTGCTCAGGCTGGCTTTGAACCATGATCTTCAGATCTCAGCCTTCTGAGTAGCTAGGATTACAGGATTGAGTCCTGGGCTTACTGTATCTTTTTACCACTGAGCCACCTTCCCAGCCCTCACTGTAGCTTTTTAAAAGACCTGTTTATCTATACCTCAGACTCCCTTGGAGTAATTGACATTCACTGAGATCGATCATTGATAATTTGTTGATTTGAGTATCGTATCTCTAATAGTATGTGGGTATCAGCAGAAGTATATATAAAGGACAGTTAAAATTATTTCTGTAGACTAACAAGCTTCTTTTTGGGGGGGGGGGGGTCCGGTCATGGGGCCTGAACTCTGGGCCTGAGCGTTCTCCCTTAGCTGTTCAGCTCAAGGCTAGCTCTCTACCACTTGAGCCACAGTTCCACTTCTGGCTTTTTCTTTTTGCTTATGTGGTACTGAGGAATCAAACCCAGGGCCTCAGGCATGCAAGGCAAGTTCTCCACCACTGAGCCACCTTCCCAGCCCACAAGAAGCTTCTTGAGTGTCAAGGTATTTATAATGTATCTTACTTCCATAATCTAGATTTTCTTCTGTCAACATCTGGAGAGATAGCCTCTAAAATTTATTTGCTTCCCCATAGTCTTTTCTTTTTTTTTCTTCCTTTCTTTTTTTTTTTTTTTTTGGTGCCAGTCCTGGAGGCTTGAATTCAGGGCTTGAGGTCTGTCTAATGACCTTCTTTTTGCTCAAAGCTAGCACTCTACCACTTGAGCCACAGCTTCACTTCTAGCTTGTTTGGTAGTTTAGTGGAAATAAGAGTCTTACTTTTCTGCCTGGGCTAGCTTCGAACTGTGATCTAAGATGTCAGCTTCCTAAGTAGCTAGGATTACAGGCGTGAGCTCTACCCATCACCTTATAAATAAGCCATAATAAGACCTGTAGTTTTATGAATAGGGCAGATCAGTTTACATTCACCACTAGGAAAAAAACAAAAGGAATTTAAAGTCTTTGTACTACTGAGTATAAAATACTTACATTGTTAAGTATCTGGTTACATACTTATTTATCAGGATGATCATGAAGTAAACTTACACTTGTTTTAACTGCTTAGAATTAGTCTCTTCTTACAAGGGGAAACTATTGTAAACCAAGCATGTTCACTAAGTAAATATATTTGTTCTCTCCCAAGTTAAGGAGGATAAAGATTTTTCTGGCATGGTACAGTGGCTTTTGTTAGAAGAGGTAGTGTATGTAAAGGAATAGAAACTTCTAAGCTGATGAAGTTCACATGAATCCGATTTTTGTTTGATTTCATGATGGTATGGCTGGGCTCTTAGCTTTTTTAGTGCCTCCACTTCCTATATTCACCTTTCTTTTAAGATTAAGCTAGGCAGCCATGGCTTATACCATAGTCCTAGTAACTCAGGAGGCTGAGATCTGAGGACTGTGGTTCAAAGCCAGTCTGGGAAGGAAAACCCATGAGACTTTTCAATCAACCACCAAAATGTTGAAAGTGGAAGTGTGGCCCAAGTGGTACAGTGCTAGCCTTAAGCAAAAAAGCAAGTGACAGCACCCAGGGCCTGAGTTCAAGACTCAGTACTGGCATGCATGCATGCACACACACACATTATATTATGCTGAGTGCTGGTGGCTTACACTTGTAATCCTAGTTATGCAAGAGACTGTGACCTAAGGATTGAAGTTCAGATTCAGCCCAGATCAGAATACTCTATGACAGTCAATCTCCAATTAACCAGCGAAAAACTAGACTGGAGACATGACTCAGGTGGTAGAGTGCCAGCCATAATTGAAAACTCATCTGAGTGGAAGGAATGAAGAAGGGAATCTATCTGTACTAAATTTTCTATGTGACTGGGTTGAAAAGTCTCTTGTGTGTTGGAGGATGAAGGGCTAGAGTGTTTTTTTGTTTTGTTTTTGTTTTTTGTCCAGCCTTGCTATCCACTTTTGTGCCATATATATATATATATAATTTATTTATTGTATTTATTTTTTGTCAGTTGTGGGGCTTGAACTCTGGGCCTGGCTCTGTCCCTTAGCTCTTCAGCTCAAGGCTAGCACTCTACCACTTGAGCCAAAGTGCCACTTCCGGTTTTCTGGTGGTTTATTGGAAATAAGAGTCTCACAGTCTTTCCTGCCTGGGCTAGCTTTGAACCTGTATCTTCAGATCTCAGACTCCTAAGTAGCTAGGATTACAGGCATGAGCCACTGGCCCAGCTTCCACTAATGTATACTGTTGGCATTGAAGATTTACATACTTCTCTGGATTGGAGTCCTGAGGCTCAAAGGTGTTGCTACTGCTTCAAGCAGAATATTCCCTCATTGAATAGCACTGGTTAACCCTTTTTTTTTGGGGTCCGGTCATGGGGCCTGAACTCTGGGCCTGGGCGCTGTCCATCAGCTCTTCAGCTCAAGGTTAGTACTCTACCACTTGAGCCACAGCGCCACTTCCGGCTTTTTTCTTTTTGCTTATGTGGTGCTGAGGAATCGAACCCAGTGCCTCGAGCATGCAAGGCAAGTGCTCTACCACTGAGCCACCTTCCCAGCCCTGGTTAACCCTTTTGTCCTTTGGAATCTCCCAGCTCTGCACGGAGTGGAAGACTTTCTCAGCCTGGTCAGGACTTAGAATTTCCAGAATAGCTTTTTCTAAGGTAGAGCTGCCATTTTGCAAGATTTTTTTTCTTTTTCTTTGTAGTGAGACAGGGTCTCACTCTGTAGCCCAGACTGGCCCTGAACTTCTTATTATCCTTCTACCTCAGCCTTCTGGTTGCTGAGACTAGAAATTAGTGTCACTTCTGTTCCTTCATAAAACCTTTCCCCTTTCTATCATTTCTTTCTCCCCTCCTGTCTCACATCTTAATATTTCGTCCTCATTCTCCTTTTTCACTAAATCTTCCCAGCTTGAACTGGATAACTAGAAGGACTCAGGAATGAAGTCTTTGAGTCATCATTCCTCTGGCCTTGTGACGATTCATGTGAGTTTGGGTTAAAGCAACCAGGAACCTAGGCCACTATTGTTTTAACGATCAAATGTTTTTCTTCTTGCTTTTTCCTCACAGGCAAAGAAGAGGAAAAGAGCAGAACGCTTTGGGATTGCATGATGAAAAGTTCTTCATGCTTTCTGTTCTCCAGTGGTTTCCATTTCTATGTTTCTTATTGGTTACATATATATCTAAATGCACAGCCACATGTCTACTACGTCCTGCTCTCAATGAGGGAGCACGTACCCCAGACTCACCTGTGAACTCCAGCAACAATTGGACTTACTGCTGTTCCAACTTTAAGGTTGTTTTGTTTCTGTTTTTAATTATTTTGCTTGTTAATAAAAAAAAGAGAGAGAGAAAATAGAACAATGTGTTTTATTAGGTGCTCCTTTAAGTTCTCAAAGCCAGATCAGACCAGATGAGGGGAGCTGCAGGGGCAAATATTAGAGCCATAATTCTTTTATCCTTTGGAAAAGAAGATAAGAAAGAGGATTGAGTCTACCTTCTAAGCCTGTTTATTCTCATGTTTACACTTAGAGACATCCTTCTACTTTGTGAAGAGGACAAGTTACCCCTTGAATTTTTGCTTCAGCAGGTTAAAGTGATCATGAGATAAAATAGAGAAAACTTGGGAGGTTTTAGGAACTGCAAAGGATATAACCATAAAGGCTAATGACTGATAAACTTCTTTTGTGTGCCTTGTTGGATAAAATGTGTCAGAATCCCACAGTAAGAAGGGCCCTATTTTCCAGGATGGCCTAGCATGATACTAATACCAGAAGTCATTTTGCTTGGCCTTGTTGGTTATATAGTTCGTGTGGGTAAATGGCCTGGATATTCCTTAGATAAAGCATGACAGGTGTCAGATATTTAGCATCATTACCTACATCATTGATACATAAGCAGTGGGACTAGATGCTTCTTGTTTGTTTGTGTTTGTTTGCCAGTACTAGAGTTTGAACTCATAGCCTTGTACTTGTTCCACTGGTGCTTTATTACTTGAGCCATATGTCTAGCCTGGCTTTTTTGTTGGCTAATTTGGAGATAGAATCTCCAGGACTTTTCTAACCAGGCTGACTAATTCTCTGATCTCAGCTTCCTGAGTAGCTAGAATTAGGGGCATGAGCTAGTAAAATAACCGCCTGGCTTGCGTGCATGTGTGCTGGGGATTAAACCCAATGCCTTGGACATGCTAGACAAACACTACCACTGAGCACTAAGGTACATTCCAAACCCTACCTCTACTTTCTTATCAAGCCCAGTAAGTCAAATTAGGATGCTAGTTTATTCTGTTTCATTTAAATATGCCATTGATGTTTTGGCAGTGATGTTTCTTGCTGAGACTCCTGATTAGAAAAGTATAGTCAGCCCAAGCAGGCTGCTTGCTTGTACTTGAAGTTGTATATATGTTTGAGACCTAGTATTTAGTATTTTTGATGTGTTAGTGGTGTATTTCTCCTTTTAGTCTTTCTACTTGGATATCTATAAAAGCTTGGTTTATTTTTTTAGTGGAGGGGAGGTGTGAAGTCATAAAACTTAAAAGCCTGGTACCTTACCTGGAATCTTTGCTTCCACAATTAGATTTTTTTTTTTTTTTTTTTTTGTGGTGGGGCTTGAACACTCTGGGCTTGGGCACTATCCCTCAGTTCTTCAGCTCAAGGTGAGTGCTCTACCGCTTGAGCCACAACACCACTTCCGAGTTTTCGAGTGGTTTATTGGAGATAAGAGTCTCACAGACCTCTCCCACCCCACCCTCCAACCCCCGGCTGGCTTTGAACCTTGATCCTCAGATCTCAGCCTCCTGAGTAGCTAGGATTACAGGCGTTGAGCCCAGCTCCATAATTAGATTCTGTGTTTGTTGTTTGTATGAAAACCTGCCCGGCTAAATAAATCTATCATGGGTAAAGAAAGCAGAGACCACTTCAGCAAAACTATACTGTGGAGAGCAGATCCAAAGGTTTGCCCATTTATGAATTTTGCTTCATCTGAGACTTTGTAGAACTGAGGAATAGAAGAGAAAATTGGTTAAACTTTCATCTCTTCAAACTGTACAATTTGAGTGACTTTTCCTCTTCTCATCAGTCTTCTGCCTCCTCCCTTTCTTTAACTTCAGACTCCAATCTCTGGATTAGCTTTCTTTTCTTTTCTTTTTTCCCCCCTTACTGTCTTTATAAGAAAACAATCAGAGAATTATTCTTTTTGTGCTGAGAGAGATTATAGATTCTGTAAGAATTTCTACCCCAGGATGTAAGTGAAGAAGCAATGGCTCCTTATCTTCCATGACCTTCCAGAAATATAAAGTGTTTCTCAATATGTAAGGATTTTTTCTTCTTGTTAACTTTTTTTCCATTTCTGCAGTTCAGGACTAAGTTCCAGCTGAGTTGCTGGTAGCTCACACCTATCATTCTAGCTGCTTGAGAGAGAGTGAGACCTGGAAGATCAGGATTTGAAGTCAGACTGTACTGAAAAGTCTCTATGAAACCCTGTCTCAAATGGACCAGCAAAAAGCCAGACTGAAGGCATTGGCTCAGTTGGTAGATCAGCATCCATGAGTAAAATCTGAGAGAGAGGTCAGTGTCCTAGATTCAAGCCCTAGTACCATCCTCCCCTCCCCTGAGGAGAAGAAAGAAGAAGGGGAAGGGGGAGAATCTAACCTCCAAGTATGGTGTTTGTCTTTTTTTTTGCCAGTCATGAGGCCTGAACTCTGGGCCTGGGCGCTGTCCCTCAGCTCTTCAGCTCAAGGCTAGCGCTCTACCACTTGAGCCACAGTGCCGTTTCAGGCCTTTTCTGCTTATGTGGTGCTGAGGAATCGAACCCAGGGCCTCATGCATGCAAGGCAAGCACTCTACCTCTGAGCCACCTTCCCAACCCGTTTTTTGTCTCATTGTTATTTCACACTTTTTTTTTTCTTTTTCTTTTTTTTTGGGTCCGGTCGTGGGGACTGAACTCTGGGCCTGGGCGCTGTCCCTCAGCTCTTCAGCTCAAGGCTAGCGTTCTACCACTTGAGCCACAACGCCACTTCCGGCTTTTTTCTTTTTGCTTATGTGGTGCTGAGGAATCGAACCCAGGGCCTCATGCATGCAAGGCAAGCGCTCTACCACTGAGCCACCTTCCCAGCCCTATTTCACACTTTTGAGCACGCATAGTATACCATGTCTATGTCTAATCCCAAAGGTAAAACCTCATTTTATTTGCTTAGATAGAACAGACTTCTAGGCTTGTAATTCTTTATCTAGGATCCAAGTACCCCTTCTATCCCCTATTTTTTCTCCTGGGTAATCCAACATCTAGATGTGGTCAGTTGACTTTTCCTTATTCTGAAGCTGTGATGTTCCCTGCATACCCTGAAGTTCTTAATGTGGAAGTCTTTGACCAGGAGCCAGTGACTCACGCCATTAATCCTAGCAACTCTGAAGGCTGAGATCTGAGGATTGAGGTTCAAAGCCAGCCTTAGCAGGAAAGTCCTGAAACTTATCACCAATTAATCACAGAAAAAGCTGGAAGTGGTGCTGGGGCTCAAGTGTGGTAGAACGCTAGCCTTGAGCAAGCAAAAGGAGCTCAGGAACAGCACCCAGGCCCAGAGTTCAAGCCCCAGGACTGGCAACAAAAAGTGGTGGGGTGTGGGGGTGGGTCTTTAAAAGCTGTGGAGAGAACAAGCTTCCTTTGCTGTAAATCTGTACCTTTTTCTAGAGTAATCCTGTTTCTCTTCCATCCCTAAAATGTCTTTTGTCCTGCCCCATTTCTTGAGAATTACTGAAAATAGAAAGCTAGAAGCTTGTGTGGAGTTGAAGGCTGTAAGAAGGAAGGTGTCAGAAAGCAAAACTTATTGGTGTTAAACTGAGTCTTCTTGCTATAATTCACATGGGAAATGGAGGGAGGGAGGAACTCAGATCATTAAGACAGGATATGGTTTTTCCATTTTTCCCTGTTCTCTTTTAAGAAGCTTCTCACAATCAGTGCCACTTGTGATTACACAGGTTCTCTCCAAATCTAACCTTGCCTGCTCTTGGTGTTTCTAGACCCTTGTTTTTCCTTTAAGGGGATTGAAAATGAAAGGTTTAGCTGGGCATCAGTGGCTCACACCTATAATCCTAGCTACTCAGGAGGCTAAGATCTGAGGATCGAGGTTCAAAGCCAGCCTGGGCCAGGAGAGTCCTGAGGCAGGAGAGTCCGGAAAGTCTTATCTCCAATAAACCACCAGAAAAACTGGAAGTGGCGCTGTAGCTCATGTGGTAGAGCCCTCGCCTTGAGCTGAAGAGCTGAGAGACAGCGCCCAGGCCCACAGTTCAAGCCCATGACTAACAAAAGTAAAGAAAATGAAAGGTTTCACACCTTTAAACTCTTTAACTCCATGGTTTCTGACTTTTTTCATTATTTTTCTTCTTTGTTGTCCCTATATTTAGTTTCCAACCTTTCATATCAATAAAATAATAAATAATAGATTAAAATGTAATGCTATGTGTTAGATGTTTAGATTTCTTTGTTCTATCATACCAGCTCCGAGACCTGGGCAAACTACTAAATAAAATCTTTTTTTTAATTTTTTTTATTTTCTAAATGGTTGGAATCCTGTTGTGAAGGTTACAGTGAAAATTAACTGGTCCCATATTATGTACCATGATTTGCGTGCTATACTTTGCATAGCAGTCAGTCAGTAAATATTAGTTTTTAGGTTTATTACAATTAAAACTTAGGCTAAGTGGCATTTTTTAAAAGTAGGTTCTAGTTAAAGAATAGAGGTTGAGGCTGGGAAGGTGGCTCAGTGGTAGAGTGCTTGCCTTGCATGCATGAGGCCGTGGGTTTGATTCCTCAGTACCACATAAGCAGAAAAAGCTGGAAATGGCACTGTGGTTCAAGTGGTAGAGTGCTAGCCTTAAGCTGAATTGCTGAGGGACAGCGCGTAGGCCCAGAGTTCAGGCCCCATGACTGGCAAAAAAATAAAAATAAAAATAAAGGGCTGGGAAGGTGGCTCAGTGGTAGAGTGCTTGCCTTGCATGCATGAGGCCCTGGGTTTGATTGCTCAGCACCACATAGGCCAGAAAACAGCTGGAAGTGGCATTGTGGCTCAAGTGATAGAGTGCTAGCCTTGAGCTGAAGAGCTGAGGGACAGTGCCCAGGCCCAGAGTTTAGGCCTATGACAGACAAAAAAAAAAAGAATAGGAGTTAAGTGGAATAGCCCTGTGTATGTGTACATGTGCTTACTTATTCAATTGTTTTTGGTGTAGAGACTGCAGAGAATTGTAGGTACTCTCTTAGCCCCGGATCATTGGCAGGAAAGCTGACTTTGTCATTTGGGGCATTGATTTTCTTCCTCCAGCTCCTCACATGCAAAACCTGGTTAAAGGCAGATTATAGGATAACTACTTGTGCATTATCTTGAAGGAGGGTTGGGAAAAGGGGGAAAAACCTTTTTAGTAGGCTGGACACTTGTAGCTTGCACCTGTAAACTTAGCTTCTTAGAAGGCTGAGATCTGAGGATTGCAGTTTTAAGCCAGCAAAGTCAGTGAGACTCATCTCCAGTTAACCAGTAAAAATGTTGTCAAGTGAGAGCACAAGGGCTGGCTCTGAGTTCAGGCCTCAGTACTGGCAGAAGGGGGGAAGGGGTGGGGAGAAAGAGAGAGAGAGAGAGAGAAAGCCTATTAGTCATCTTATACTTTCTTCTGAATGCCTTTTCAATGCAGTGGACAGATGGGTAATAGGACCCATTATTGGCTCAGGCTAAAAGCTAGGGATAGATGTGGAGAGGTAAAGCATCGGCTGAACTGAATACGCAAGCCAAGTTAGAGTGCAGGCCCTCTGTTCAAGCCCCATTACTAGCACTGAACAAATAAAGCAGTTCTTTTGGAGGAAAATAGAAAGATGGAACTTTTTTTTTTTTTTTGCCAGTTCTAGGGCTTAAACTCTAGGTACTATCTTTGAGCTTTTTACTCAAGGCTAGCACTCTACCACTTGAGCCACAAAGCCACATTCCCAACCCAGATGTAGCATTTTTATTATTCATCTAGTCTCAGCTTTACCCATTCCCATGTTTTGTCATTGGTGTGGGTGGAGACCAGTATGCTCGTGGAGAAGTACATTGAAACTCTCATTGGGTCTTCCTTCATGTTGGGTCAGGTTCATGTCACAGAAGTTTTTTGTTGTTTATTTGGGGCAGCACTGGGGCTTATACTCGAGCTTTACATTTGTTAGGGAATCACTCTATTGCTTAAGCCATGCCTGGTTCATGTTCTGGCTATTTTTGAAAAAAGGTCTGACTTTTTCCCTAGACTGTCCTGCAATCCTAGTCCTAGCTGGGATGACAGAGCTATACCAACATGCCCAGATTTTTCTGTTAAGATAGGATCTCCTTTTTCTGCACAGGCTGTCCCCTAGCCATAATCCTCCCATTTCTACCTCCCATCATTATTTCTAATGTAAACCAAGCAAGATTCTCTTGCCACCTTCAGCTCTCCTGTCCCTGGAACAAATGGTGCTGTCTATATGGGGACAATTTTTGTTGTGGGCGCAGTATTTGAGGTGCTTGTTGCACAGGCAACAGGAATGGGTGTTGGTGTGGTTCATGGGTTTTGGTGACTGTGTTGAAACTACCTGGGACTAAGGACTGCAGAATAGGAGAGACATCAGCTATATTATCCCAAGAGAACTTACATTGTTCATTCTGAAGAGATTTGGAGATGTCTTCAGAGAATTTTTCAGAGAAGAATTCAGACTTTCCAGAAAAGAATTGTTAAATCCCTTCCCTTTCCTATTTTCTGTGTCCCAACCCTCATCCCACAATCCTTTAGTGTTTTCTGTCTCGTTCCAAGGACCCCTTTAGATCCTCTTCAGTTCCTGGTCTCCATGGTGTAAATGTGGCGCTTGATTAGGGAGAAGAGGTCAGCACTGAATTCTAAACTCTTTGACTGCTTTTATTTTTCTTTTTTCAGGTTCAAGTGCTGGATTGTGTCATGTGACCATCCCAAAACTCAGAGCACCCTATGGCCATCTTTGCCCTCTGTCACATAACTTGAAAACTGCCTGATGGCCTTTTTGCAATGATTCCTCTTTCCAGGAAGCCTTGATCTCAGTGAAGAAGTCCTTTCCTGGCATTCCAGTACCCCTCTCAGCCCCATACTTCTCAGACACCCTTAACAAACAAAGGCAATCACACACATGATGTAACAAATACACAAAAAAAGTAAATAATTACACTAAAAACTGGTATGTTTGGAGGGGCACTGACCAGGTCCACACACACAAGGTGTGTGTGGTGGGGGTAAGGACTAGCTCCTTTTAGGGAGCTGGGCCATGTCCCCAAGCCTCTTTGTTCCCATGCCTCTTTGGGGATGTGTAAGGATGAGGAAGACTTCAGCTTTTGGACTTATATTCCTAAGAGTTCTCCCTCCTTGCAAAGCTCTTTACGATGGTAATAAAGGGGCAATGTTTTAAGTGTCCCCCAAGTTTAATGCCCTAACTCTAGACTATTGAGGGAAGTTGACTGGTGCCCACTGTTCAACCCCCACCCCATCAAGAGGCATTTGGCCCTTAGAGGCAAGCATCTTCACTTTTCTGTTCCTATCCTTCCACCAAGGAAATGTAAATAGTGTTGACAGTCAAGGGTGTCTTGTTCTCCAAGACTGGGTTAGAAGGGATGAACAGAGCCAGAGGAGAGGCTTGGGGTTAACATGGTCGCCATATGGGAAGTAAGTTGAAAAGTCACTCCTTTATAAAGCACCTTACCTCATTTTCTCACTATGAGAATAAGAGAAAGATGCTAAGACTTAGTAACATCACCTTCCCAAGGTTGATCACATACCTTTGCCCCTTCCATGGTCTGGTCTAAGCAGGAGAGACATGCTCTCAGGAAGAACAAGTCTTCTAGGCTTGCTCACCAGCTTGTGCTTTACTTCAGTATTTTTTTTCTGCCAGACCAGAACTGCTGACTCTGTATAGACGGAATTCTTTTGCTGCATACTTCCTCCCTCTAGGCTCTTGGCTGGAGCCAGGAGGTAGCTGGTGAGGTATGGGTAGGGTATGGAGATTCTCAACTCCGTGGCTTCAGGCACTGTCCAGCTGGGAGGCAGAGGGGAACTTGTACTTCGAAGCCTGTGACTCTGCTAAGCCTCACATATCTTCACCACCACTCTGGTGCCCTGGTTATCTAGTCCCACAGCGAGAGGTATTTTATGTCCATAAAGTGCCCGTGGTAAGTGCTCAGAATTCATCTCTTGGCTGTGGCGGGTGCTGCTATTTTTCATTCCATCGAGGGGAAGAAACTGAGGCACAGTGAGTCCAGAGGAGGGTGGGTGAGGATTGTGAAAGGAATGAAGGGGCTCAACTAGTGGCTTGAAGTGGCAACATCTGCCTGCTCTGTAGCCTTCCAAATCAGAGGGTCTCCATCCTTCTCATCCTCTGCTGTAACTGGCCTTGTCACATGCTGTACCCCGCTGTACCACCCCTCCCTGCTGCCAGATACTATTTTCCAAAAATAAAAGATAAAAATTATAGACACTCTACTCCCTTGTTTTCCCTCCTTCTACCCTGAGCTTTGGGGTTGGGGGACTAAAATGTCCCCATCTCCAGAATCCCTTCCACCTTGGTCTGCTGGCTTTATTCCCTAGCCCCGAGCAGTGATTTGGATTCAAATGCCCTGTGACCTTCAGCCTCTTTACTACTTCCTAGACCCTTTCTAACCCTTCCCAGACCTGGAGGACTCTGGGATCTGTATCTTTTTTTTTTTTTTTCTTGACCTGAAGATAGAGGCTGGGAGCAGAGGCATTCCACAGGCTCTTTGGTCTCTTGGCTGAGGGGAATTTGGGCATAAGCAGGTTGTACCCCCTGGCAAAATAATACCATAAAAGTGGGCCTGAGGGTTAGTTTGGTGGCTCTCATATAGATCCTGGATGTTGAGGGCTCCCTCTCTCCCCCAGCTCTTAAACCCTAACCTGTTTCCATGAACACTCACCTCAACCCCATTTGGCTCAAAAAGGTTAGTTAGGGTGATTATGGGGTAGAAACTTTGTGTTAGCCCTCTTGCCCTTCAATCCCATTCCCAACCCTGGAGGCTTTATACAAGTGCTTAAGTGGGTATTGGGGAAGAACAGGGTTTGAGGAATAAGGAACAAATGGGGCATCGTGGGCAGGGGCCCCCTATTCCAGTAAAGCCAAATACCAAAAAAAAAAAAAAAAAAAAAAGTCACAATAAATAAATAAATAAAATTCCCAAATCCTTACTTTTGCCCCTGTCTTTGTTTCCCTTCCCCTGGCAACTTTTGGAGGGAGAGGGAAGAATCTAAGAATGGATTTTTGATTTCTTCCTACTGAGTAATCAGGGGAACTCCCCAAACTACACCAAGCCTCTCACCTTGCCAGTAGAAAAAAGGAGGCTTGGTGTGGGGCTTTCATTTATTACTCCATGTCAGTCTCTTTCTCAGCATTTGTCTCTGCCTAGTCTCCTGTCTTGTCTGCCTCTCCGTCCCTTTGCCTTCTCCATGCTGCTCAGTTTGCTCCTGTCTCTATTCCTCCATCTCTACCTCTGTCTCTACATCTCTGTCTTCTTGCCAAACCTTCTCATCCGCAAACCTCCGACACTGCCTTACCCTGACCATGCCCCTCCTTTTCCCTTTGCCCCAACCCCTCACCCCTCAATCCCCCACTTGCCTCCCTCTGTTGTATTGCACACTGCATGGTCAGGGAACAAGGTGTGGTGTTCATGGGAAGAGGCGGAGGGAGCTGTAGGGCTTGGGGGAATTAGGGCCAGGGCTGGGTCTTGGGGAAGGGTCTATGGGGGAGGCCATCCACTGTCCCCCACCTTAGGAGCAGCCACAGCGATCCACCACCATGCCAGGGATCTTGCCGTAGATAATCTGCTGCTTGTCATTGAAGTAGAGCATGTTGATTGGGGACATCTTGGTTGGGGTGCAGCAGGGCCCAGCAGAGCCTCTTGGATTGGCTTGTTGCACCAAGTGGGTGTGTGGATACTTTTGCATGAACATGTACTCGCATTGGCCAGAGCAGTAGTTGGCTTTGTAGCGCTTAGGTGCGATGATCCAGTCCCAACCAAAAGCCTCAAAGTCCACTGTGAGAGGATATCGGCAGCATCGGGACTCGCTTGAGTGCTCATCACAATCCAGGCCCAGGTTCCGCCGGGACCGTTTTGTGTTCTCTAGGACTCGAAGCTCCATGAAAGGATGCTGAGGGTCAGGGAGAGGGGAAAGAGATGTGACATAGCCCTGAACAGTAGATCTTCCCTGTTCCTTTCCCTGCTGCCTCTCACAGGGGCATCAGAACAGAAACCATTGACTTCTTGGCTGTTCCATCGCTACTAACCCCAGACAGACCCTATCTTCTACACACTTTTGTCACCTAACCATCTCAACTCACCTCCCCTGATTCTCCCTTTTCTACCAACCTGAGCCTCATCAGCAATTTGGCCCAGGGCCTCAGGGGCCAGTTTGTGAGTGCCACCCCCCCATCTCCCATTAACTGACACCTTTCTTTATCCCAAATCCAGTTTTCAGCTGTTTGCCTGGCTTGAGTCCCTGGATAACTTTTGTTTGTTTTGTTTTTGCTTTTTTTGGTCAGTCGTGGGGCTTGAACTCTGGGCCTGGGCACTGTCCCTCAGCTCTTCAGCTCAAGTCTAGTGCTCTACCACTTGAGCCACAGCGACTTCCTGCTTTCTGATGGTTTATTGGAAGTAAGAGTCTCATGGACTTTCCTGCTGGGGTTAGCTTTGAAGTATGATCCTCAGATCTCAGCCTCCTGAGTAGCTAGGATTACAGGTGTAAGCCACCAGTGCCCAGCCTAGATAAGTTTGTTTTGTTTTGTCAGTTGTGGGGCCTGAACTCGGCCTGGGTGCTGTCCCTCAGCTCTTCAGCTCAAGGCTAGCGCTCTACCACTTGAGCCACAGCACCACTTGTGGCTTTTTCTGCTTATGTGGTGCTGAGGAATCAAACCCAGGGCCTCATGAATGCAAGGCCTGCACTCTACCACTAAGCCACCTTCCCAGCCCCTCCCTAGATAGTTTTAATTGCCACTCTCAACACCCTATGCCTCTAGAATCAACTCCTGACCCCAGAGGAAAGAACACTGGTCCCCAATCCTTTCACATGCCTAGTCCACTTTTTCTAACATCCCCCACCTCCTCAGGGCCATATCCACCACCACTTCCGGCCCCCTGCTCACCAGCCCCTCAGCTCCTGGCCCCAGGGAGGTGACCGCCAGGTCTGTGCCACTGGGATCAAAGGCGTTGATCTCGATGCCCCAGTTGCTCTGTGGCTGGCGGAACCAGCTGTGTAGCACTTGCTTGAAGTCGATGCTCTGCCAATGGCCGGAGCGTGAGTGTAGCTCAATCTTGAGTGAACGGATACGGATGTGGCGCCGGCCTCCACCCCCTCCCCCAGTGGTCCCTTCCCCAGTTAGGGGTTTCAGTCGCAAGATCTGCAGGTAGACCGTGGCTGGGCGGGGTACCGGCCGAAGGTACACCCACAGCTGGGCCTTCAGTACCTTTGTGAACATCACCTTGGGGCTGAAGTGGAAATGGCAACAGAGAGGGCTGCCATCTGTCTGCACTGCAGGGTCAGCTGATAAGAGAGAAGGGCACAGCATCAGCAAAGAGTGTTTGTGTAGAGCTTCAGCAACCCTGGGTGGCATTGGCAGATTCTTCTGAGCCTGAGTTTTCCAGTTCTTCTTTACCCTTCTCCCGCGCCTCTGGTACCCAAGAGTGTCTCCTCTCTAGGATGATGACTGTTAGGCTTTCCTGATCTGTACCAGTTTCACTAAGCTACAGATTCCCCTCTACCCAATGACCTGTAAAGCTAGTTATTAGGTAATTCTTCCTTCCAGAGCTTTCCAAGCATGTAAGACCACAACTTTTTTCTCTGAATCTTCAGTGTGCCTCATTACTCCTGCTGTACTCAGGTTACCTTGCCTTCCTCTTCCTCAGGTCTGCTCTGATCTGTTTAATGGTGGAGCCTGGTATCCCACCCCCAAAAGAAAATGGCCTTAGAGGAGATCTGAGAGGTCCAGAGAGAGTATAGGCTAAATTTGCCTCATAAAGTAGAACTCAGATCTAGGCTTCTCATCTTATTCCTTTACACCTAACAGATTGCCCATTCCCTCTCCCCTAAATCAGATTCCCTTAGCTTCCTCATTGCCACTACTGCCCCAGCTCTCCCCTCCCTCCCTCCCTCCCTCCCTCCCTCCCTCCCTCCTTCCCTCCTTCCCTCCTTCCTTCCTTCCTTCCTTCTTTCCTTCCTTTCTTCCTTCCTTCCTTCCTTCCTTCCTTGTGATACTGGGGTTTGAACTCTGGGTCTTGTACTTGATAGTCAAGCATTCTAACACTTGATTCATATCCCAGTATTTTTAGCTTTAATCAACAATTTTTCAGGTAGAGACTCAAGCTTTTTGCCCAGGCTGACCTCTTCAGACCATGACCCTCCTATCTTCACATCACAAGAAGCTGGGATTATACAGGCATGAGCCAGGGTGCCCACTGGCCCCAGCTATTTGCACAGTGTCAGAAATCATTTTCGGCAAATGACATTAATTATTAGCAATTGTCTCTTTCTCCCCCGAGCTTTCTTTGGTTCCTCAGTCTACTGCTACAGTAAGTCTTTTAAAAAGTTTTAACACCCCACTTTACATTTTGATCCATTTTCCCTTATTGGGGGCCATAAATAGGTATTGATAAATATTGGTTCTCGCCAGGCGCCAGTGGCTCACGCCTGTAATCCTAGCTACTCAGGAAGCTGAGATCTGAGGATCACGGTTCAAAGCCAGCTGGGGCAGGAAACTCCGTGAGACTCTTAACTCCAATAAAGCAGTAGAAAAACGGAAGTGGCACTGTGGCTCAAGCGGTAGAG